TAAAGTTATTTGAGTATTGATTATTAAAATTTGGTCTGGCCTGTTGAACATGCTGTGGAAAAGATTGATGTGACATTCTAGTAGGATTTCTAGAGGTCGTTGACATAGGCTCTGGTTTTGGTAATTGCGTTGCCGGAATTTGGTTCGGTTTGAATACGTTTCGGGGAGGTCCGAAAACTTCTCGATTAGTTGGGAATCTTTGAGGGGGTTGTGGCCTCGGATTTACATTCACTGGTTGGCTGGGCCAAATAGGTCTCGGTGAAAATTTGGGATCTGAATAATATGTGTTACTTTGGAATGGTCTTTGAAAGTAATTGGGTCTTTGCGATTGGACGTTATTTGTTTGAACGTTAGGAGTGTTTACTTGTCTAATTCCTGGATTATTGAATTTTGGCCTGAAATTATTCTGAAAACTACCATACATATTTTCAAAATTTTCATATTCATTTACGTATGCCATTGCATCTTCTAAGGAAGCGGGTTTTTTCAGATGCATGTTGTTTCTCAAGATGCCAGTGCATCCTGCAATAAATGTACTTAGTGCGACTTTATCGTAGTGAGAAATTTGATAAGTTTTTTCATCTCGAGCTAAATTCGTATCGTTACTTATACGTTGTGCGACATTGCTTCTCAATAATTGAAGCCTAGTTCCAAAACTAAGTAAGTCTTCTCCTTTATGCGGTCGACTTCTAGTTAATTCCTGAACTAGACAGTCTAGGTCTCTACGGTCTGAAAAGCATTGTTTCAAAGCGTTTTTTAGTGCGGCCCAAGAATTGAGTTCGGCCCTGTTTCCTACCATATATTCGGCTTTCCCTATCAATTTTTCTTGAATACATTCAAGAACATGATCATTCAATGATTGATCATTGAAGACTTCATAGGCACTGACTAAAGTATCACACCTATCGATAAACTTATTCAATGCGTTACTATCGCCATCGAATTGTTTGAGATTATTAAGTCTGGATTTGAAAAGATTCCAGTTCATTTGAACAGGTTGTGCTTGTGTTACTACTGGTGGAGACATAGTGGATGCTAACAAATTTGCCTCTCTAAAATTAGATTCACTGTTAGTTGAATTCCTTTCAAAAGATAAACTACTCAGCCTATCCGAGATATTATCAATTTCACTCATAAATTTTTCGAATATTTATTTATATTTGAGAAAAATCCTAAAACTATTTGTCTAGCATAGACATCGGTTCGTTCTCAATGAACAGCACTAAAATATCTTCACCGAAGTCCTTATTCAGAGGGTTCAATGAAGGCAAGAAGGAATATTTGGCACTTACAAGTTTTAGATAATCCAAATCCGTGTAGTCTCCAGTTCCTTCTTCGTTGATTCTACGTAGCTTTCTAGAGGTTTGGGTCGACTGCTCGTCTGCTCGTCCGGGGTAGGTAATCCTCGATGGATTTTGTTCGAATTTGTGCTCAAGGGGTTGAAACTCCACGACGCGAAAAAGTGTTTTTTCTTTAACGCACTGCACAAATCCTACCGACTGCGCCAGTTAAATACTTTGAACGAGCGAACGTCTTTTTAAAAAAGATTTATTTGTTTTACAAAATACAGATCGACTGTCTCTGACAAGAGTTACAATTAGAATGAATAATGAGTGAGAACTAGATTCGCTCTCAGAGGCTCGAATTGAGAGCTTTCCTGGAATACAGCTTGATCAGCGAAGCTACATCAGCGTTTTCTATGGGAACGGCAAATCCATGGGAACGATCGCTACATAACTAGCGTGTGTCGTGTGCCTCCTAGGGAGCCGATAATCAGGATGACCAATTCCACAGAATGGTCTGGATAGAGCCGGCGAAGTTCGAAGAGAAGATCTCGATATTTAGTCCGTTTTTCCTCCTCCTTAAAAACGATGTTCGGTTCGGCTGGCGCCGAAAACTCGATCACGAACATCGCTTTGGTTTGATGGTCGAGGAGGACTACATCAGGCTTGTTAGCTTGAATTTGCCTGAGGGTGGGGAATGAGAAGTTCCAATAAATTCGGCACCTCTCATTCTCCACAACGGACTCAATATCCCCCGGAGCATAGGGCAGCACTGGGGTCTCGTCTATTCCGTACGAGTGCCTCAAATAGTAGTAGAGCACTCGCAATGCCGCATTGTGTCTATGGATATAGGCCGAGACTGCATACACCGTGCAAGAAGACAGCAGGTGCATAATTGTCTCGGGCGCCCTGCGGCAGGCCCTGCAACTTGTGTCAGGGACCTCCATACCCATGACACGGCTACGGTAGACGAGAGTGTTAAAAACCCCATCCTGGCATGCCATGATGAACCCCTCTGTTTCCGATTTGAGCCCGCCTGACTTCAGAAAAGCAAAAGTCAGTTCTTTGGATAAGCCCCGGTCTTCAATGGTCTTGAAGTAGACCGAATGCATGGGCTTATCCATGTGAAGCTGCAGGAGCTTTCTCACTTCTGCAGCTTTTATGCGGGCCTTTCTCCGAGCAGGCTCTAGCTCAGTAACTGAGTCCTGAGCCTCGCGCTCGGAGTCGAAAATCAGAGACAATTCATCGGCTGCTCGACGTGCTGCCCTGAAAAGAAAAGCTCCTACTCCTGCCTCTTCATGGGTTTTAACCATTTGCAGAAGGGGGTCCGAACTCCTGATGACTTTGCAGGCGCCATCCAGAACCATTCTGTTATAATGATACTCCAAGCTCAAGAGTCCACGGCCACCCTGGTCTCTAGGTATGTATAACCGTGGAACGGACGAATTTGGATGCAGACTCCTATGGAGATGCATCATCTTGCGAGTACTTACGTCAAGTTGTCGCAGCTCGACTTGAGTCCACTTTATCACTCCAAATGAGTAAAGTAGGATCGGAACAGCAAGCATGTTAGTCGCAGCGACTTTGTTCTTCCCCGACAGTTCTGACGACCAGATCTGTCGGAGCCGCTGCCGATACTTGCTGCGGAGAGCGTCTTTTACCCATTGTGCCTCCTGGATGTGAGTTTCCTCTACACCCAGGTAGGTGTACGTCTCTCCGGCATCCAGGTGGTGTAGGATGCTTCCGTCCACGAGCTGCGCGTCCTTGTCGTAGTTCTCGCATCGTCCTCTCTTGAGATGAACCAGTGCACATTTGTCCATTCCGAATTCCATTCCAATTGCCTGCGTGTACTCCTGTACCACCCTGAGGGATTGGTCCATATCCCTCTCACCAGAGGCATAAAGTTTGAGATCATCCACATAGAATAAGTGAGTGACTTTATGCCTCCGGTAACTGGGTGGGCCGCAGTTGTATCCTCTGGTTTTGCGGAGCTCAACGGATAGTGGCAGAAGTGAGATGCAGAATAGGAGTGGGCTAAGGGAGTCCCCTTGAAATACTCCTCTCCTAATGATGACTGGCTCTGTCTGAACTCTCGCATTACCTGATGTTATAGTAAAGCGGGTCTTCCAGACCAGCATCAGTTGTTCTATGCATCTTACTATAGAATCGGGTACCGAGAGACACTTGAGCAAGTACACGAGTAACTCATGTGACGTTGTGTCAAATGCCTTTCGGTAATCGATCCAGGCCACAGAAAGATTCCGCTTGTACTGCACGGAGTCCTGTGTGATAGATCTATCTATCAACAGGTTCTCCTTGCAGCCAGCGACACCTCTCTTTGACCCACGCTGCTCAAAAATCCGTTGGTAAACCGGGTCAACTACTAGGAGTACTCGCATGTACAAGATGCGCGTGAACAACTTGTAACATGCATTCAGACAGGTAATTGGTCGGTAATTCTTTGGATTGGACAAATCTCCAGTCTTAGGGAGAAGCACGGTTCGCCCCTCGATAAACCACTCAGGGATTTGCTGCTCCCCATTTAGCCAGCTATTAAATATACTGGCTAAATGGTGGTGGGTGGAGGGTAACTTTTTCCAAAAAAAGTTATTGATCCCGTCGGGACCAGGAGCAGCAAAGTTCTTGGAGCCTTTGAGGGCTTCTCGAACCTCCTCAGTGGTTATCGGTTGGCGCAGTAATTCGGGCTCAGGCTCTCGATATCTTTCGCAGAAGATACCGAACTGCGCCAGGGCTGGAGTATCTCTGTTGAATGGATGTCTCACCTCATAAATACCCTTCCAAAAGGTTTCCACCTGATCAGCAGTCGGCGGATTGTCAACCACACTTGGAGGCGGTTGAAATAAGCGAGAGGGCTTTTCGCGGAATTGTTCATTTTCCGCCAGCCCTCTCGCTCGCCTCTTTAGTGACTGTTTTGCAGCCACTAACATCCGTATCCTTTCGAGGCAGTGCTGTTTGATGGTGGATAGCACTGCCTCATTTAGTGTGTGATGGGTGCGACGCAATGTATTGGCCATCCGTCGCACCTTCGACGTGAATGGCCTGTTGGCCCTCACATAATCCATCACACACTGGATACGGGAAGTGTGTTGTCTCGCCGACTGGATCTTGGCCTCCATCTTCTGTACACGCCGATCGGCCCTCTCCGTCGGTGAGACCGTTTGTATGGGTCTCTCCGGTAGAGAGGACCGAACGACGTCATACACGGCACAGTTGATGTGCCAGATGTCAGCCCCTTCCGGAAGTGTTCCTCGAAGTGATTCATCCATCCTTGCAAGGTCTTGGGGCCGCAGGGCCTTAATGTTGAGTAGGCTCCTGCGGTTCCTGATTTCGCTCACCTCAGGAAGCACACGGTCCCCTCTCCCGTTGTGAGGCAGAATGGGTGGAGCGTGTTGTTCCTCCACACCATCTTCCTGCCGAGAAGGGACTCTCACGTAGTGTCTAGCGCGTAGGTGAGATACATAATACCGCAGATTTTGAGCAGTGAGTGCTCCATGCTGTGGGTGTTGCTCAATCCACAGAGCATGCATCCGCCTCATGTATCCCCTACGCCCTGGATCGCTGCTCTCAAAGCACTGCAGAAGGTCAGCTCAGAGATCATATCGATGCATTCGCAAATGACTGAAATACAGGGGTGTCACACTGTAGATATGTGGGTGAAATGAAAACTAACATGAACCTAATACTCTGTATACTCACTTTCATATTTCAGTACAAAACACGTATTTGTAGGGCAGTTGGTGATTTTCAAAATCATCTTATCTCCATAATTACATTGTTTCGATGTTTGGTGACAATGAAAACAGGAAAAGGGTTTTCCTGAAATATAAAAAATTGGATATTTTGAGAATTGGACGAGGTCGCGAAGAAGACTTCATTTTCAAAAATGTACTGCCTGGGGAAATGAATTCAGTATGCCACTGTATTTCATCAAACTCGTTTTCATCTCTGCGATATATAGGTTTGAAAAAAAAACCAAGATATACAGTGGTTCCCGGAATTTAGTATTTTCGCCCTGTAATACCTCAAAAACAAAAAAGGGTTCTGAGAATGCAATATTTGCTTCCATTGACCCCACACCAGTATGATATTCAACAGCTATACAAGATTACAAGATATATGTCACAATGAGCTTACACTATCTTTATACAGGCTTTTGATTAACTATCTACTGATATTTAATTGGGACATATACCGGGTGATCAAGATTCTGAATTCTGCACGACCCTGTATTTGTTTCAATTAAATGTCAGTAGATAGTTGATCAAAAGTTGAGATAGAGACATGTGAGCCGTTTTGACCAATAATGAATAGTTTCGACAAAAAAAATTCCTAAATTTGAAAAATGTCGATTTTTCACACCCTATATCTCTGTAATCATTACCGCTAGACCCCAAGTGTGATACATCGATGAAATCAGCTCTTCAGAGAGAATCTGAAAATGCAATAAAATACAGGATGTTCCGTTCAAAATAACAAACTTGTTGCTACTTTTCGATCGAAGCGGCAACGCCACAGAGCTGAAAATATTTTGGATCGATAGACCAAGAGCAACTACGTGAGTAACCGAAATTTCAGAATGATCCTGTGTTCCGTTCTCCATAAACGTCTAACGTACCATCGACCGTGGGTTACCCTGTATATCGAGAATCAGTCGGGAGAAATCCATGAAAATGTGCATGCTTATATTTCGAAAAACGCTCTCCTCATTTGGAGTATTTTCGACGATGCAGTGTTGCCGCTTCTACTAGAAAGTAGTAGCAACATTGATATCTCAAATAGAACACCATGTATTCCATCGCACTCCTAGATTTTCCGTGAAGAGCTGAGTTTATCGATAGATCACACTTGGGGTCTTTCCAAAAAGATTTCAGAGATATATAGGGTGTTTAAAATTGAGATTTTTCAACTATAGGATATGTTTGTGACGAAACTATTCATTATCGGTCAAAACGGCTCAAATGTCCCTATCTCAATTTTTATCCACTATTCACGTATATTCAATCGGAACAGATACAGGGTAGTTTAAGATGCGGAGTTCTGATCACCCTGCCTGTACCCTAACAACACCAGTACATCCTAGGGACTTCCCATGGACGTCTCTGATTTTATACTAGGACATTTTCCGTGTGGTGGTCGGATTAGAATAACCCCACGGTGAGTCCTGCCTGTCGTAGAAGGCGACTAAAAGGACGCCAATAGGTGGAAGATGGTTGACGTCATCGCCCGGTGTGATACCACCACATCAACCATAGGCACTGTGAAATGGGTATACTAACCCGTGTTTCAGTAGCTGGTTGATGTTCCGGCCAACCCAACCCAACCCAATTTCCTTTTCCTTCCACGCCAACCTCCCTTCTTCATACAGAATACGCGATGATGAGTTCTCCTCAAGTAAAATTATCCGGAAGTAAAATACCTCTCCATTCGGATTTCCGGGCGAGAGGTGCTAGAGGGGGTTCACCATCGGCTGAAAAAGTCCTCAAGATAGACCTATGTAACATCCGAGGTCTAAGTAAGAACATCAACGATGTCCATCGACACCTTCAAATTGAAAAGCCAGACATATTGGCTCTTACTGAGACACAGGTCAATTCATCCACCAATACGACCTATCTGCTCTGTCCTGGGTACGAACTCCACACACGTTTCAGATTCAAGGGAGGTCTCTGCCTCTACTCTAAAACGAATCTCTCATGTCAACGAGAAAAAACTTTGGAACCAAACAAGTTTGATGTCATGTGGTTCAAACTCGATAGCCAGAAACAGACCAAATACATTTGTTGTCTCTACTTATCACCAAATGATCCATCCTATGGAGAGCTCTTCGAATTCTTGTCTTTGAAGCTTGACCAAATTCAACAGAACCATCCGGCAGCAGAAATCATCATCATGGGCGATTTCAATGTACACAACACTGCTTGGCTCGTACACTCTAACAGAACGGATAAAGCTGGGCGACAAGCCGAAGCTTTCGCCATCACTCACGGCTTAGAGCAGCTTATCAAAGAACCCACACGAATTCCTGATGTCAATAACCATTCAGCTAACATACTTGACTTATTCCAATTCTGACCACACACTAATCTCCACAACCTGCCCATTTTTCATTCCATCAACTGCTCCGGCACACCCACGTCTTATATGGCATTACAATTCAGGAGATTGGGACGGTCTCCGCATATTTTCCTCCGAGTTTCCTTGGCATAGAGTATGCTTTGACTCTGAGGACCCTTCACAGTGTGCTGCGGAAATATCCGAGATCATCATGCTCGGAATGGAAACATACATACCTCATTTTTCGAAAAGATCATCACCTTCGAAACCCTGGTTCAACAAAAGCTGTTCTAGAACTGTTGCCTTGAAACAAACAGCCTACCATCGCTGGAGCAAAAACCCTAACCTCGCGACTAGAGCAGAATACGTTGATGCCAGAAATAACTGCAGCCAAACAATAGATGCTTCGAAAGAAACATACAATGCCAAGATCAGATCGAAACTCATAGATTGTCCCAATGGCTCCCGTTCGTTTTGGTCCCTTGCTAAAGCGGTCGGAAGAAATTTCACTAACAGTTCATTTCCACCACTGTCCAAATCCGACGGCACATTAGCAACAACATCGCAGGAGAAAGCGATTATTTTTGCAGAAATTTTCGCAGCAAACTCTACTTTAGATTCCCAAGGAAAAGTGCCGCCAGACATTCCACCCGTTGAGAGTCGAATGCCCGAAATCGTCTTCCGTCAACGCACTATCAGACGAATTTTGCTTGGTCTCAAAACGAATAAGGCTAACGGTCCTGATGGAATTCCACCAATTATCCTCAAAAAATGTGCACCAGAATTAACACCGATTCTCTGCAAGTTGTTTACCATCTCGTACAGGTCGGCTATTTTTCCATCATGCTGGAAGACAGCTAGAGTCCAACCAATCCCCAAAAAAGGGAACAAGAACCTGCCCAACAACTACAGGCCCATTGCCCTGTTATCAGTAATCTCCAAAGTGATGGAGAAAGCCATCAATATTGAGCTTATCAAATATCTGGAGAGCTCAGGAATCATCAATGATAGACGATACGGCTTTCGCCACCGAAGATCCACTGGAGATCTACTTGCCTACGTCACCCATTTGTGGCAATCTTCAATAGAAAAAAACGGGGAATCTCTAGCTGTCGCGTTGGACATATCGAAAGCATTCGACCGTGTTTGGCACGAAGGACTCCTCCACAAACTACCATCATACGGCTTACCACCTCAGCTATGCCATCTCTTATCGAGTTTTCTTTCAGGCAGATCGCTTCACGTGGTGGTGGACGGTGTATCGTCTGATACCATTGGCATAAATTCCGGCGTTCCACAAGGATCAATTTTGGTACCAACATTATTCCTGCTTCATATCAACGATCTGTTGGGAGTAACAACTTGCCCCATCCACAGCTTTGCAGATGATAGTACCCTCCATACTGCGTTCTCTTCCAGAATTCCCATTTCTTCCCAGGAAACTAGGAACTCACGGCGCAGGCAGGTCAATGCTGTCAATGAAGATCTTGCTGAAATCACAGCCTGGGGAACAAAAAACCTAGTTGAATTCAATGCCACCAAAACTCAAGCCTGCATTTTCTCTAGAAAGGCGGAACTCAGTATGCCCGATATTGTAATGTCTGGCTCCACCATCCCCACCAAGCCCACCATATCTATGCTCGGTATTTCCATCAGCAACACTCTTTCATGGGATAATCATGTCAGATCCATCGCAAAAGCTGCTTCCCAAAAACTCGGATTCTTGTTCCGTGCGAAAAGCTACTTTACACCTCAACAGCTTCTCATGATCTACAAAGCGCAGATACGGCCTGTTCTAGAATACTGTTCTCACATATGGGGTTCAGCACCAAAACATACGCTGATGCTCTTAGATTCCATCCAGAGAAGAGCCATTCGCCTGGTGGGTGACGCCACACTCACTCACTCTTTGACATCATTAGAACATCGTAGAGAGGTCGGCGACCTTTCACTTTTCTATCGATACTTCCACGGGAAATGTTCTTCGGAAATCTCTGCTATCATCCCTTCACTAGCAATACCAATCAGACGAACTAGACAAGCCCAGTCAGCACATCCTTTCGTTGTCAACCTCGAAAGATGTCGAACAGCACTTTATCAAGACTCCTTCATCCATAGAACGGCTAGGCTCTGGAATTCATTGCCTGTGGAAGTATTCCCAACAACATTTAATCTCCAAAAGTTCAAAACAAATTCCAATACCTACCTCCTGTCCCTATCCTCCCTAGGAACGCACGATGTTCTTTGAACATTATAGGGATTCCCTCTCGTGCGCCCCAAGCGATAAAAAAAAAAAAAACATCCCAGGGATGTCCTTTGTCGGGACAACGTACATACTATAGGGATGTCCAAGGGACATCCGCTGGCCGCTAAAAAAAGGCATCCAAGGGATGTCGTTCTGGTACGTCCCTGGGATGTACCAAGTACGATGAAAGGATATCCCTAGGACGTCCCAAAGATATCCCAGGGACATCCTTTCGACAAAAGAAAAAAGTTGCAGGTCGAGTAGGGATTGAACCCGGGACCTTTGGCTTATCATGCACGCACCTTGCTCCATTGGCTATCATGCCTCCTGAAGATTTATGTACTAAACAGATTTATAAACAGGACTCAACTACAGAAACCTGAATAAGTACAACTTTATTAGGAATTGAGTATAATTATTATCATTCTTGGGTGTTTAAAAATGAGGGGCATTACGATTTCTGTCTGCGAAAAATGGTAATTTCTTAGGAAGTTCTGAGACTTTATTCTTCATTTTTATTACAATCATTTTCCGGAAGAGCAACAAACATTTTCAAAAAAATTCAACTCAATAGTTTGATGAAATTCAATGAATCTGATGTGAATGGATATCAGATACTCCAGGGACACGAATAGGATAACCTAGGGATGTACCGGGCGGAATGTCCACTGGACAACCACTGCAGGACATCCCCTGGACGTCCCAATCATGTCCTTGTACCGCGGGACAAAAAAGGGACGTACCTAGGACATCCCTGTGTTGTTAGAGGGTTTCTGTTCCGATTGATTATCAGTAAATAGTAGATCAAAAGTTGAGATATGGACCTGTGAGCCGTTTTGGCCGATGATGAATAGTTTTGACACAAACAAATCCTAAAGTTGAAAAATCAAGATTTCAAACACTCTATATCTCTGTAATCATCTTCGATAGACCCCTTGGAATCCGATGAAATCAGCTCTTCAGAAAGAATCTGAAAATGCAATAAAATACAGGGCAGCAACCGTTACCACCGATAAAACAAGGCCAGCAGACTCTGACGTGAACAGCTCGTGACGTCGCATACTCAGGCCATCTTCCAAGGCATTCGCGTCGATCGATCGTCAGTTTGTTTTTGTTTAAGAACGGTGGCGTAGGTAAATCGCGTTTGCTCGAATTCTCTTGTTGTTTATTCATCAAAATAATTGGCGGAGAAATTACTGTTTTGTGAAATATTTCGTGTTGTGATAGGCGAAATAACAATGCCTTACAAGTGTTGTGTTCCCTTTTGTCGGGGGAATTATGTGGGTGGTCCAAAAGTTCATGCTTCTAGTTTCCCGTTGGACAAGGAACTATCGAAAAAGTGGGTACATGCAATTCACCGCAAGGATTTTACGACTCCATCTAAGTACAGTAAAGTATGTGAATTACATTTTACTAATACTTCATCTACTGCAACCAATTCAAAAACTGGCAAAACTGTAACAATAGATTTGAAAATTCCTAGGCTCAAACGAGATGTTATTCCCACTCAATTTCCCAACTGTCCATCTTATTCATCGAAAGATGTAAAATTACGCACAAGTCGTGATGAAAAACTTGAGATACAAGAGACTAAAAATTTGGCACGAGCACTTACCAAAAGTAAAACTGAATTCGAAAATTACCAAAAATCATTTTGCTACACAGAATTTCAAGAATTTCTAGTTGTATTAGAGTCTTTTCAGTTGCCCGAAAAGTGGTTCAAAATTATCGATTTGCAAACAGTCACATTATTCAAATTGTCTTATTCTCCAGGAACCGTAATTACATATTCGGTTGTGATTGATTTTGTTTTGAATGTGGAATCATTTTTGTATGACCTAGCGATACAAACATCTCTAAAAGCCAATCTGAAAACACCTTTTATCTCTAATAATATCAATCAAATCAAGGAATTACTAATCGAAATAGATAAAAACGAGATACATAATTCGGGAAAATGTCTTGATAATCAGGAAAATAGGGTTTTGAAACATATTTCGAATGCATTGAACTCTTTGGTTTCTGACTCAATACATTCTCAAATTTCTTTCTGAAAACGGTCATTTGCCTCGTGGCAATGAATGCAGAATTCATGCCAATGATCAAATTGCAACTATTATATTAACATGTACTACAAACACTCTACTTAAAAATTACTGTTTCAAGTCTAACGACCAATTGGGTGAAAAATCCAACAACAGGAAATTGAAAACACTCACTGGCTAATTTTTTAGGTGATAGGAATTCTCCAAGATAAATATAGGTAATTAGGTATAACAAACGGCATGTCTATCAAACTAAAATACATTTTCCCCAATTTTCTTTCGATCAATCTCATGATAAGTTTATGTTCTGCGGGCCCTGTATAAGTAGGTGTGAAGTTTACCTCTAATGAGATTGAATCACTACAATTTTTGCCAATATATTTAATTCGAATGGGTTGCTGTAGGTGGGAATTTGTGTTTTATTCTGGTTTTTGCTTTGAAACTTCGTTTTTCCATAATAAAATCGAATGAAATGCGAAGAAGGGCTCAGTTGACGGCTGGCATCCTCTTTCAACTGGAAGCCCTTCAAAAAAAAGCAAAGCTTGTCGTTTCGAGCCGCTGATGGTTAGGCCTGACTAAGTGACGTCACCCACGGAGCATGCAGGCCGACTGATTCTCGATAAAGTTTAAGCTCGTCGTGACATACCCTGTATAGAAAATCAGTGTTGATGAGTTGCCACTTCAATAAAATAAACGAGCGAAGGCGATTTGCATGAATTCATCTTATTCATTTCAAAAATATGGGAGCGACATCAAGCTTTAGCTGTGCGGTTGTGACACACTGTATATCACTCTCTTTTAAAAAGATAACGGTCGTCAAATTCCATTTTATGAGCTATCACACTTTGTATCACGAAAGAGATTGAAGAATGTTTTGCTACTCACCTAATTCTGCAATGTCAAAAAACATGCACAAGATCCACAAACACTTCAATGAGTTCATTTCAACAATACATAGGTTTCAATACCTAATGAATATCCACCATCACAAATTTCAGACTTTTGTAATACGTAATAATTACTGAGAAAAATCGGAATTGTCTGAGCTCAGACAAGATCTTGTTCAATTTTGTATTCAGCATCAAGAGAGTCCATTCATTTTGTTGTTTATATTCAGGAAAACTCGATTAACATTCTCTTGCGTGTGTTCACGCCAAAATACCATGTTCGAATCAGCACGAGGGAATATAAAAATAGGTTGAAAAAGGAGGTTGCCAGACGTATTGGTACCTAGTTATTTATCTACCGTGACTGGAGAAAGAATGGAACAAGATCATAGAAAAATTCGATTTTTTCCAAAGGATTTCTCGGGAGTCAAGATTTCGAATGATTTAGTTTTTTTCTTCGATGATTCCGAGGATGATTCTATACGTCATTTTCAAAAAATAAGAAACTCTATTTCGACATTATAGGAACCAGTAAATTTCTGGAAAATTTGTCATTTACATGAACATGTAGACGTAAGATTGAGAAGTGGAAATTTTCCGGCACATGGACAGCTCAAGTTACAATTCTGCAGATACTATTTGAATAAAAATTCTTCTGAAGGCCGTCTGGGGTATTCTCATCATATCTACGAACAATTGTAATCAATTCATCTGAAGTTAGAGCTAAGAAAGAATATTCCCAGACAGCACCAGATATTCCATGAATCTCCCTATCATATTCCTTTTGGAATATTGGAATATTCTAGAATTAATCTGGAATATTCCGGAATATCTGTGGAATATTCTCTGAATATGCGAATGGGAATTCCTCAGATAATCATAGAATATATCCAAAAGAATATTCTATGTTGAATGTTTCTGGAATATTCCAATAAACATATTATAAAATTTAAAAAATTGACCCAAGTAGGGATCGAACTCGTGACCTCAAGACTATCAGAGCAACGCCTTGACCACTAGGCCAGTAATCGAATTGAATAATGTTATACATATCAAGTTCTTGTGAGAGCATTGTTCGAAATCGGATCATAAACACTTTTTGTTTCAAAATCCCCTTACATCTAATTGATGTTCGATACTCACATCTCTGAAATAATAAATGTTATTTATGTGTTGAGAAACATAGGAATATTCATGGCATATTTCATGAATATACACCACAGAATATTCCGTTGAGAATATTTCATGAATATACCGCACGGAATATTCAGTTGGGTATATTTCATGAATATACCGCACAGAATATTCAGTTGGGTATATTTCATGAATATACAACAGAGAATATTCAGTTGGGAATATTCCTGGAAGATTCATCCCTGAATATTCCCTGAACATGTCCGACTATTCACTTTGGAATATTCCTTTTAGATATTCCAGAGGCATGTATATTATTCTAGGAATAATCGATGAATATTCGGAATATACTCCTCCTTTTTAGCATATTTAGAGAATATTCTATGAATATCCAGTGCTGTCTGGGTTTTAACGCTATTAATAGCGTTAATATCTTTGATTAGAGCTTCTGTACCTACTTTCCTTTCTTGTTTGACGAAAATATTGTAGGTTTCGCCTTTTTGCATTATGAGCAACCCTGCCACCTTCAAATTCGATTATATTCAAATGGATTTGTCTTACGTTTATGTTCATTGAAGCATATTAGATCTATGATTGAAGTAACCTTCCTATATAGGTATAGTTTTCCATATCAATGTCAACTGTGTTTTCCTAATATTCCTCAGCATCATTCTCCTCACCCAATCTTTTAGGATTTGGGCAATCACGAGAGATGGCGTAGTCGCACAAAATTCATAGTTTTTCTGCTGGCAAAACAAACATAAATTGTTCCAGAGAGACTCTTTACTCTTCTTGTTATTTTCTGATATCGATTCGCTTACATAATTACGAATTTCCGTAGTGGAAGTTGACCCAAAACGAGACATTTCAATTTCTGAGTGACTGATAGGTATGTCAAAGTTTGACAACCATCGCACTTCCATGCTGGCGAACAGAATAGCCGCTCATATTGTTTATTTCATACTGCATCATAGAACATACATTTTTCTGCAACCGACACAAAAGTCGTCCATTTTGATACCAAAATTAGCTCTTGAATTGACGTTTCTATTACTGACACAAAAATAGGTAGGTTGCTAGGCAACATATTTAGTTCCTAGGAGCTAAAGTTGAATTTTAGTTCCTAGGAGCTAAAGTTGAACTTTAGCTCCTAGGAACTAAAAAGGAAGTACTGGACGTCATCAAGAATGAACAACATTGTGACGGTTGGTTATTTGGTTGAGACGCATACCTGATTTGTTTCCGATTTCAGCAGATTTGAAATTTCATACCCATGCTGGAGATATAAATACACCTTATTATAGTTTAGTATTGGAATTATAAACATATCAGCTAAGTATTTTTGTTTGATCAGGAAAGCCTTCAAGATTCAAATACTTGCTTGATCTGTATTTCATTCGTTATTCTCGGGATGGATAACTTGTTTTTGAATAATCACGGCAAGCAATAGTTTTTTGTCTCAAACAACGATATTGTTTAGCTTCATTTGATTATTAAGCGAAAAACATTGTATTATAGAGAGGAGTAAATAATCGCCATTATCATTGTTGATATGCTCATTAACCTAACATTTTCCACGTCTTGTTCCTATAGCTGGCACTGGCGCGGTATTTGCTATTAGAGCATCTGGTCCATACACAAATATGTCACTCTGTGATTGTACTTATATTGAAACTACAATTCGAACATCCTTGAAAATTGAATGAACCTGCTGTTGATGCAGGTAGAATGTTCTCTTACACGGAATATTTTTTGTCAATATTTGTTGCATTGCATACATATGGCACGGCATTGGTGGTTACTTCACATGTTCATTTGAGTTAATTGTTTCGGTTGCAGAAAAAATAGCATGTTTCATTCGGATCAAAAGTGACTTTGTTCGACTCGCAAATTTTGCTTTCGTTTGGCTTCGCTAATCGCTCCGCCTCGCAAATGCAAAATTCGCTTGTCAAACAAAGTGTCACTTTTGATCCTAATAAAACAATCTACTATTACGTACCTGATTTCAATCCGGAAAATAGACTTTTACAGGATAGGCGCACGTAATATTTCATTACGTGCTACTATCCCGTAATGAAATTTTACCGGATTGTAAATATTGAAAACTCAGTTATGCGTCAAAAGCATGAATACATTTATTAAAAATTCAACAGCAAAACAATACACAGAAATTACTTATTGCTAATATTAATATTAACCGTTAAATTTTCGTTACCATGAATATGGTAACCAGGAGCTCCATTAGATGAATTATTCATTAGGGAGTTGCTACTTGCTGATACATTCCCATTTTTTTGTTGTAGCACTTCAACAAAGTTTTCTCCATGTTCAATCATGCGACAATCACTGACAGTATTATTCAAAACAAAAATTATGTTTCTAAGGAAACTACCTGCCAGCTATCTTGGGAGTGAATGCAAAATTCTGAAATTACTGAACACAGATAAATAGATTAATATTTTATTTTTCACTGTTCATTTTTGTTTTTTAGCAGTATGAAATAAAATGTTATACGTCATACGTCCGGTAAACTTTTACAGTACTCGTTTCGAAATAAAATCTCACTCGTACTGTAAAAGTGTACTTACCGGACTAGTAACGTAAATATCTATTGTTCACCTAAATAGCCGCTGATATCGCATATCATGTGACTTCAATCATGACATTTCATAGGTCCAGCCGGGTGTGAATGAAACAATCACTCAATGTTTCCTTCCTGAATATAATTCTCGTATGAATCGTACAAGAAAATTCATGTAGGTATCATGTTTCATGTATGTGCGTCACGAGAATCTGCAATTGTTTTTGGATAAACTGTACCTACTTATTAGTAATTTACACCCTAGATTCTTCTCGACAACTTTTTTCAGTCTCATAAATGCGCATTTTTGCACTAATTTAACCATCTACGTATCTCCCAGTATAATTGGCACACTCGACGCCTATCCACCAAAATTATTTACCAACCTGCTGCTGTGTTTGAAAATTGAACTTGACCCATTCTCAAATTGCTAACAAAACCCAAATTTAATGAGTAAGTATTACCTATCACAATTTCCTGTTGTGAAATATATTACTACTACAAAATCGCTATTAATCTAGATAAGTCCTACGATGTAGGTACCTACTTGTGTACTCAATGAGTTATTAGGTGTTAATAACGACCATTTTCCTTTACGTATTAGGTCATAAATTTTGGATTTCAGAGCACCGAAATTCAAATCGTTTACTCTCCATTTATGTGAAAATATTACAGACGTGTGGTTGAAAAGTGAATTGTTGTATGACAGAGTTAAAAACTGCAAAACAGATATTTGTGTAAGATGAGTTTTGATTCTGCTGTGATTCGCTGCATGATTTTACTTTTCTTAGGAATCATGCAAATGCAGCCAGGTAAACCAATTCATCAATAAATATTGACACATTATTTGAATACATTATTTTGGTTGATATACAATGCCAAAGAAGGGAAGATTTGTATTTCGTGCAAGATAATTTATTCGAAATATTCGTAGCAGAGCGTTTTCGACTGTCATCATCAGTAAGTACTCGTCAGGTTAACAGGGAAATTCGTTCATAAAAATATCTTTGGTCCAGTTTAAAACTAACGACATGAAGGTAAAATACGTTTCAAAGAAATCGAATGTGTTTCCCAAAAGGGGGTAAAATATGGATTGTCGCATGTCGCAGCGACAATGGCTGCTTAACAAAATGTAATCCATATTTTACCCTCTTTTGGGAAACACATTTTAATTTATTTATAACGTATTTTACCTTGACGTAGTTAGTTTAAAACTGGACCAAAGATATTTTTATTGACGAATTTCCCTGTTAACCTGAAGAGTACCTACGCACTGATGATGACGTAACAGTCGAAAGCGATCTGTTACGAATATTTTGGATAAATTATCTTGTACGATAT